CCCATAATGTAATTATTAATATAGATTTTTATGGTGGAATTCATTAGTTTTGCAAACAGAACCGCAGACAGAATTAAACTGATGAGAACATTTTGCGTTATTCTTATTTTTTTTGTTGCTATAAAAATTGCAATTATTTTAATATTATTCTATGATTTAAAATCCATATTAAGCTGTCACTTATATATACAGAATTTTCATTTAATTTATTATTTATAAATATAATAATTATTTGCTTTCCATTATGATTTGGAAATTTGATTCGAAAAATCCCTTAATTCAATTAAAAATTTTTATTATATTTCTATTTGTAAATTTAAATCTATTTAAAAATATTTATACCAAAGTGGCGTATGGTGGGTGGGTACGCAACTATAAAATATTGTTTTGCGGCATATTGATTGTAACATAAGTGGAGGATTAAAATTAGAAACCGTACCCTAACTGTATAAATAAAAATTAGTTTTATTGGAAAATTTATAATAATCGTAAAAATATAATCAAATCCCAAAGGAATCATGAATTGAATTGAGCTGTTAAACTCTGTAATTACTCTTGATGTAGGTATCTGTTTTCAATTCACATTTTTTTTTTTTTTTATTTTCCATTGTTTCACGTTATTGTCACAAAGAATCGTTATTTCCAACAGATCGCATATTAGAATTGAAGAATATAAAAAATAAATATTAACGCTAATGATAAGAAGTTAAATTTATGCGGGACAAAGAAAAAGTTTTTGGCTAAAAATAATGAAATTTTTTTTTTATTAACTCAAACTCCCTCTTTTCAGAAATGTCATTTTGCCAAATGTCACAATTGCAAGTCCATTATTGATATAAGTTTAATTATTACCAACCGAATTGCATACAATAAAGGGGGTTTATGTGATGGCGGCAAATTTCGGGTGTCTAGTTTTCGTTGGTAACGCACTTCTGAGAGAGAGAATGGTCTGTTGGTCTGTCAGTCTGGATGTGCACGCTTGTTTCTCAAGTTCGACTCAACCGATTTTGATGAAATCTTATATATATGAGTTTATTTTGGCTATGCCGCAGATTGATCAACTTTTGGGATGTGTTAGGACTCCGAAACTGGGCTGGCGGCCTATTTTATATTTTACATCGTTTCTGAGGAACGAGCTTTTCAGGGAATTCGGATTGTATAAAGTGAATCTTACAGAATGTCAAAACTACATTTCTTTACTTTAAAAGTGAAAGCAAGTCTTTAAAAGGCATTTCATTATGTTCTGCAAGATTCTAGCTTGCCATTCATTTTAATTTTTCCACCATCCGTAAGATCCTTCAGTTAATATAATCATTTGTCTTGGCACTTTTTCAGAGCTGAATGAATTCAAAATTTCATTCGTACTTTTATTACCTTATTGAAGCTTTCATTTTTTCATCACATTTTTGTGTTACTGAATATTACAGTAAATTTTATGTATGAAAAAAATTATTAAGCTAATGGACAACGTAATTAACTGTTGTCTACATTTTAATAAAAGAGAATAGTTTACATTCTCTTTCAATCAACAGAGAACTGAAGTAGATATGACTTTGAAGGCTACTATTAATTTTACCGTTCATACGATAACGAAATCGGAATTTTGGCAATTGGATCGAAATTCGTTTCATATAATACTGAAAAATTAATGTGTTTCGTGTATTTTATAAGATATCAACAAAATTAAAATGGTGTTTTAATGCCTTTTAAAGTTTTACCAAGAACAATTACCTTAAAAATTCACAAAAGTATAGCATAACTGAACTTGTCAAGCTAAACATTAAAAATAAATGATTTTTATTAAAAATATTTTGTTATAAATATGTAAGCATGTTATTTAGATGAATTTTTAATAACAATAGAAAAAACGTAAATTTTTACATCACCTTTATGAATTAGTTAAGAATAAATTTGACATAAATAACTCAATTTTTTTTTTTTTGTAAATCATAGGGCTCCACCTTATTTGTCTTTTCAATAATTTAATATACAACTATAATAATTTTACCCGAATTTCTATTAAAATTTTGTTTTTAATTTTTAATATCGAATTAAAATATAAGCCTTTATTTATATTTTCAGAAAAATCAAATAAAAAATAAATTTAATATTCAAATATTTAAAAATTTTATTAATATTTTTGATCAATATGATAGTATATGGTAACAATTTTAGGTTTAAGATATAAAATAGCTGTTATTGACAATTCATTATTACGTTTTACATAAATGTTTGTGAATGTATGTACTATAATAAAATTATGAATGTCAATTTTTGTCCGGTAATAATTATTGTCTTTATGTTAAATGAGGCATAATATACATACACAGATGCGAGACAAAAGTTAGCAGAATTTCATTCCATTTTCCATTACATACGCTGTTTACTAGAAATTTATTTGGACCAGGATTTTGCTAAAGTCAAATTATTCTAAAAAAACTGTAATTATTTAAGCTTTTTTCAATTTTCAACATCTATAAAAAATTTTTTATTAGTTGCGACCCTTTCCGGGTCTTTAGGAATTCTATTAGTCTCAAATCAACTAATTTTCCATATATATATATAAGAAAGCTATTAGTATTACAAATTACCTGTTCTTAGAAATATTTTTAAATACTTTGTCGACTTAGATAGACTAAAGAAAAGATGGGTGTGTTAAAAAAAATATATAAATTAATTTCAAACACGATACGATATGGGTTTGTGTTCTTAATCATGAATATTTACGATCTTAGTTAAAAAATCTCCTTAAATTTATTTATCATTATTTCTAACTAATATTGACGGGTTTTATAAAAAGAAAACCTTGGAATTTTTTAGTTGTACGTAATTTGTAAATGTAACCTTGTTTTGCATAGAGATATGAGTAAAAACTGACGTTTTTGGGGGTAGTTTTGAATTTTATATTCCCAAAAATAGAATGCAAATAATATAGAGATTGACTTACTTATAAAAAATATTTTCTGTCTTCTAGAAAAAATCTTCCTACCTGAAAAACATGCAACTTACTGAATTTTTAATCAACAGATGACAATTGGCAATTTTATTAACTCATGTTGGACTTTGCCCAAGCAATTCAGATTAATTAATTGCTTTTTTTGTAAATAAAATAGAATAATATCATGTTGTCTATAAAATAATCACAAAAAATCACTATTTGTGTGTTTGTTACTTATTATATTATTTGCAAGTACTATTGTCTAAGAATAATCTACAATGACTCTATGTGTAAATTTAAAACGATAAGAAATTTATTTCAAGCCGCGCTCTTCAATTGAACGAAAAAAATAGCAAAATCATTTTTCCATATTGATTAACCTTTTTACGATCATTTTATAGTTTACATCAATTAAGTTATCAGTAAAATAAATTTAAAAGCTTTTTTGATCGTTTGTTTTTGTATTTGAACTCTTTTAAAGCTTAAATTATTATGCAACCAGTTATGGTTAAAAAAAAAAAAACATTTCTTACCATTGAAATTTTTACAATTTACTCTAACAACCTCTACTAATCTAACAATTTTTCTATTCTCTATTTTAGAATTAAAACTTATTTTTGCGTTTACTCAAAATAAAAACGAACAAAAACAAAAAAAATCTGATGTGGTCAGCACATAACCGACCGCATTGTGTATTGTCTAGTTAAATGAAAGTGTTACAGAATATTATAAAAATGTCTGTTAAATACTTCTTTCCAATTTTTAGGACATTAGTAAGCTTATAGTTAACATACTTAGAAAAATGTAAATTTGGCTCTTAGTAGAGTTTCGCTTTGTGCTACCCGAATTCCCTGAAATGCTCGCCAGTTAGTTTCGGTAACAACCAGAACTCAAATATCAAATTTCAAGAAATTCCATCAATTTGTTCTGTGGATATGGTGAAAAATGTAAAATCGGCCCGCAAATCAGTTCTCGAGCCCTGATCTTTCCAAAAAAGTTATATGTTCATTGCTTTAATATGAGGAATTCATATATTAAATTTCAATGAAATCGGTTGATTATTTCTCTTTATATACACAAAAGTGTATGTTTGGCCCGTAGTAAACGTCTAGTTGCCGATGCCTGATCTTTCCAAAAAATTTACATGTTCATTGTTTTAATACGGGGAATTCATATATTAAATTTCAATGAAATCGGTTGATTATTTCTCTTTATATACACAAAAATGTATATTTGGCCCGTAGTAAACGCCCAGTTGCTGATGCCTGATTTCTTCCAAAAGTTAGGAATTTTTGCGTATGATCGAGCAAAGCTTATATATGAAATTTCAAGTAAATCGGTTAAATACTTTCTTCAAAATGGTGAAAAATGTAAAATCGGCCCGCAAATCCGTTTTCGAGCCCTGATCTTTCCAAAAAATTTATATGTTTATTGTTTTAATACGAGGAGTTCATATATTAAATTTCAATGAAATCGGTTGATTATTTCTCTTTATATACACAAAAATGTATATTTGGCCCGTAGTAAACGTTTAGTTGCCGATGCCTGATTTCTTCCAAAACATAGGAATTTTCGCGAACGGTCCAGCTGAGCTTATATATAAAATTTCAAGTAAATCGGTTGAATACTTTCTTCAAAATGTTCAAAAATGTAAAACAGGCCCGCTAAAAACTGCAGTTCCCGAGGCCTGATATATACCAAAAGTTGATCGATCCGTGCCATGGTGGAAACAAACTTACATATAAAATTTCATCAAAATCGGTTCAGCCGAACTTGAGATACACGCGTGCACACACAGACCGACAGACCGACAGACCGACAGACCGACAGGTTGCTAAAAATAGTTTATTTACACTTCCCTACTATGGAGAAGTACGTTCCCACCGAAAACTCGATATGCAAAATTTGTTGCCATCACATAACCTACCTATTGTTTACACAATACGGTCGGTAAAAAGTAAAAACAAACTTTTAAAGCTTACGCAGAGAATCTTATAAAATTTTCTTTTATAGTAAAATCTTCATTTATTTACTCTTTAGTTGATCGCCGACTTTCAAATCGTAAGAACGGGTAAAGAAAAGATTTTTTAAGCGGAATTAAAATTTTAAATTGAAAATAAAATTTGTTAGCAATGAATTACATACAATTTGCAATCGATACAATTTTAGAATATCAATATTTGATCGTAACATTTGTTGGATTATTTATAATATGGCAATTAATAAAATTATTACCAGCATATAAAGAATTTATGGAAATTTATAGATTTTCAAAAACAGTTCCAGGACCAACAGTACGTGAATTCTTAAAGAATGCTAAAAGAGAACGTAAGTTTTTTTTTCGTTTTTTTTTTTTAAAAAAATATTAAAATATTTGAACCTTGGAAAATTTGCACATCAATTTGCTGATATTTGTACCAACTAGAAATTTTCCCCTGATATTGACCATTTATATTGGGCTCAAATAATATTGCATTTCTACATATATAACTTATAAATTTTTTTGTTTTTGATTTTATTGCAACATACCTAATATGAGACATGAGCCACATTGTATGCTAATAATAGAAAAACTACTTAAATTATTTTGCTATTTTACAAGGCTACCATCCAAGTTGTATAAATTGCAGTTTAATCACCTTTACTATAAAAATAATTGAATTTTTTTTTATATGCAAGCTTTTTGCTAAGCAAATTTAATGCATTTTGCACAGCTGTATGCTCCAAACCATGAGTAGGTCAACTATTGGTGTATGTACATATATTTTATCGTATATTATAATGTACTGACTATTTTATCTTTGAAAACATGTTTCATTGAATAGTAAGTGAAATCAGGTTACTTAAACCATGATGTTAACAACTAAATTTATATTTAATGTCTTATAAATTCAATGAAATCTAATAATTTTAATATTTTTATAATAAAAAATTAAAATGATTTTAGAACAAGTTTAAATTTACAAATATTTTATGAGTTTTTCAAAAAGTTACTGTTACTCGTAAATGATGCGTACTAGAATTTTTTAACATAAATTAGATACAAGAAAAATTTGGGTGTTTATCACATTCTCAAATACATTTGGATTAACAAAAATAGTCGAAAAAGAACACTGAATTAATTTTGTTTTTCTGCAAACAGTAAAACATAAAATAAAAGTGACAGTGTATTTTATTTTGATTCTTACGTTTTTTTTCGTTTTTGAATTTTAATTTTAAACCAGATTTATTTTTTCCTGTTTTCATTAATATCAGTAAGAATTTTAAAAAAAAAATAAACCGGTTTAATTTACGAGGATCTATCTAACAAAACTATTGATTCAATTTTTCTATTGCTAACATAACAATTTAGTTTCGGGTTTGTTTTCTTTTATGATAATGTTGACAGTATAATCATGTTATTCAGTTAGACAAGATGGTTTAGTTAGTAAGAAGAGAATGCAATTTCAATTCTAACCCATTTTCCATTATTTAGACTAGTTTGTATGTAACTAGTTTAAAGTATGTAGATTGCAATTTTAAAGAAACCGTTATACTTACTCGTTGTTAATTAATCCGTTGTAATATGTGGATATGTGGATAATCCGTTATAATACATGGCAAATTAAAAAATTGTTCAAATTGCAATAAACATCAGAAGACCAGAAATACAATTAATTGCACTTGTACGCTAAATGGAGCTAGTTAAAATGTAAAGAGCATGTGTTTATCGCGATCATTTCACTGCTGTGTCAATTGTCAAATTTTTACAAATTGTGGTTTCGTTCTATATCTCACTATTTTCCAGTGATATACCAGTGATAACATATTGAGAAGGTATCACGTATTTCCTTTATATAACATAAATTTCGATTTAGAAATTTTGTATTATATTAGTCTCAATTTTTTGAGTAGCGTAATGAATGCAGAAGGAGATTAGAGTTTGAATAGATTTATAATTTGATTTAAATATTTTCTTGAATTTATTTAATAATTTGGCAATTTATTCCACATAAAATTTTGATGTATTATGATATTTTTGTGTGTTTTCATTTTAACCACAAAGCGACACTCAATTATTATTCGAAAGTTTAAATGAAAAACAAAGACTAAATGAAAATTCTATAATAATATCAAAAATTGGAGAAAAAGTTCGTGTTGAGATTTAACCACATTTTGACCCATCTCAGTTACTTAATTTAAAAATTTTCGATAAAGTCACTGAAATAACGATTTCCTTTGCGGTTACAATTTCACTTTGTTTAAAACTAACTTTCTATAAAACATAGTTTTTTAAACTTAAACGTTTATTCCTTTCCACCTTAAACAAAAATAAGAAATATAAAACAAGTTTCACCTCAATAATTTTCATATGTGTTTTTAAAAATCGTGTCCTTCATTAAGAATTTAATTAGGTCACTATATCAGGAGTACACTGTCCATATAATTTAACCGGTTTATATACGTTTGTACATATGTATGTAGATACGTACAAATCATTAAAAAACAATGAAATTAAATATTAAATTAAAAAAAAGGCTGGTTTTAACTTTTTCTATGAGAAAGAGGAAGATTAATAAAGTAAAAAAACAAAAATAAAAAAGTCGCAATGCAAAAATTCCGAACTGCGCGAATTTTTGATTGATCGTTATTACATGAAAGCATGAAACCGATATTTACACAGCAGCAGTCCCAAAACTATTATCGTGTTTTCATTTTACTTTTTATACTTTTTAACTTATCATGTTACTTTTATGTTATTTATGGTTCATTTTTTTAACTACCAAAATATAATTAGGGTCTATTGAAATTAAAATATGAAAAAAAAAATCTCCTGTGGTCTGCACATCACCGACCGCAAGCAATACTTTAACGAAAGTATTGCACAAGATTATGGTAGTGCCTTTTAAATACTTTTTTAAAATTTTAAGATAGCTATAGTACAAGCCTTTAGTTAAAATACCTTGAAAAATGTATATTTGGTTCTTATAGGAGATTCCCCAAGTTCTTATAGGAGACTTTCATCTGATGAAACCTAATTTCTTCTAAAACTTAAGTGATTTTTTGTCCTGTCACTCGAAGCTTATATATAAAATTTCAACAAAATCTGTTGAATACTTTCTTAAAAATATGCAAAAACGAAAGACCGGCTCGGAAAAAGTTGCAGTACCCGAATCCTACAAGTTCCGAAAGTTTAATTTATTGATCCCAACATGTTCCAAAAACATTGATTATTCCGTGACGATGTTAAAACATCCGAAATTTTGTGCTATCACATCACCTTCTTTACTGTATGCGATATTGCCGGTAATAATATTTTTTGAATTATTATTAATGACATTGATCGTTTGCCGTAAAGTCATAAAAAAGTAACAAAGGAAAAGATGATCTATTAAAATGAAATAAGATGAAATCGGATTAGGTATATAGCAAGAGAAATTAATTTGGTTAAGGCAGGGACAATACAATAATAGTTATACAGTACTTGTGCGGTAGTGGTGTTTTCAGTGCATGTGTGTAAATAACAGTACCTAACTACCTAACAGTAATAATAACAGTAATAATAATCAAACTTAAAAATCAAGAATTTCATACTTGTGCACTTTTTATATAAAAAAATAAAACAATGTACGTTACCAGAACAAGTGTTTGACATTCAATTAAATAGAAATAGAATAGAAATGATCACAAATTTACTGTTATAATAAATCTAACGGGTAATTTCAATGGCAACACTAAAAAATGATAAATTTTAATGCAATAAAAAAAAATTAGAAAACAAATCGAAGTCCAAAAATTGTTTTCCATTATATTGCAATATTCTTTGTAAAAAATTCAAGGTTAATAATTTCTAATTTAACCATTTGCTTATAAGATTCTGGTAACTTGTTTTAAATTTATTCCGGAAATTCTTCTATACATTACCGGAACGACACATACATGCATACATACATAAATTAATGCTGAAAAATTTTAATAATTAATAATTTTGGTTTTATTTTTCCATGCATTTAATCACTGACAAATTAATACTTGTTATGAACTAGTTACCTGCTGATGTTGAGGGCGATCTGACGGAGCATGTCATCCGCCACTGGTTGGGGTATCGGGCACCAGCTATCCCAGTGTGCATCTGGCTGTGTCCAGGAGCTTCAGCCTGGGGTGGGTTAAATAGAAGTAGCAGGTTACCACCAATGGCTACATATCATAACCAGAAAAAAAAAATTATGCACACGTTGAAATAAAAAATAAAAAAATTTAGTGCGATTGCAAAAAACAATCATTCTGTTTGACAATACAATCATACTGTTTGATCATACAATCATACTGTTTGATCACACAATTATACTCATTGATCACGCAATCGTACTGTTTGTTCATACAATCATACTGTTTGATCATACAATCATACTGTTTGATCATACAGAGCATTAATATATCTTTTATCTGCACTTTAAATTATTATCAATTAAATTTCGAAACTCCAACTAAATCATTTATCTCACAATAGTAGTTTGATGAAGATTCAAGAAAATTTTATGCCAAATTAAAATGCCATTTCAGTGATGTTTTAATTATCTACTGGACTTCTTTCAAATATTAAAACTTTTATTATTTGACAGCTCTGATTTAATTGCCTTTAAATTTAAAATTTCACTACACTTTTGTGGGCAGATTTTATTTTTTAATAAACACGGGAATCTTTAAGAAATTTATCTTCATTTTTCGAAAAACCTATTAAGATGTTAATCTTTTGAAGTCTTTAAAAGAAACTCTCAATCAATTTTATCGAATATTAGCGTTTAAGTTTCAAGAAGACAGCCACTTAGTCTAAGGAAAAAAATTTTTTTTTTGTTTTTTCACTTTTGCTAATTTTTTTTTATTTAAATCATGTTTTGTGTATAATTTTATACCGTAATTAAGTTGTTTAACAATAAACCGTTGTGCATTGCATAATATTTAGCATAAGAAAAATTTAAAAGTTAAATTTTTATCCATTCTTCATTTTGTTCATTTCCGCATGATATTTACATACTATACTCAAACAAATATAAATATATCTACTACACACACAACGATAATACTTTTATTCTTTTAACATACACTAAATTTTATGTACGAGTATGTGATAACTTTAGTATGAAACACAAAAATAAAATCGGATTTTAGAATTTCAGAAAAATAAAAAATTTAAAATTCATAAATAAATTAAAAAGCCGGAAATTTTTAAAAATATTTTCACAATATAAAAACGTAATATTTTGGTGTTTAACTTGATCTTTTAATAATTTTGTATTTTAAATCTTATAGTGGTCCTATTGTTTGTAGATTTAATAAGAAAAAATATT